ATCATGCTAAGACAATGATTTTTCTCTTTGTGTTCTATTAAAATGTACCTCAAAGTAATAAGGGAGTCAGGAGAATAGAATAGAAAACTTTATACATAAAAGAAAAGAAGAGAAAAGAGGGAAGGGAAGGGAAGGGAAGGGAAAAGAAAAGAAAAGAATTTATGTTTGGGGAAAATGTTTCTTTCTTTTTTTAGTCACTATTTTGTTAATCTGCCCTGCTTACTTGGGAGTTGTGCATTCCCTAACAGGGTAAGCATGAAGTGATTTTGCTCTGGCTACAGCAATGTGAAGAGGAGGACACACTTGTTCACAGTTCATTCTTGTACACATCCAAAGTTAGATATGTACAATGTATTATCTCCAGTGTTTTAACAGTGAAAAGTATGTGTGTTGTATGATCCTTTTCCTAGTCATCTTTTCAGATACATATAATATTTAAAGCTAATTCCCTTTCTGTTCATTTCTTCTTTTTGCTTACTTTCTTATCATTTTGTATACCTCTCATGTTCTATTATGGTTTCCTAGCCTCTCTGAAATATGCTGTGGTAGGACTTAAGGAGTATCTTTTTATGCCTGCATTGTAATCACAGCTGAATAGTAAGATAAAGACAGATCATGTGGTACTGGAACATGTTCATAAAGATGACTAAGACTATCCTGGTTTCCTGAGAATGTAAGAGATATGTATAATGGGGCTGTATCTCCCTTATCTGAACTCTATCAGTTAGCAAAAGGAAGTGAGGAGAGGTGTTACACTTTTAGCACTTCCTCCTGACACTCTATGAATGAGGCTTAGACATTAGAACAGAATATACAATAATGTTAGTGTTTTTAGAAACATTTTTGAAATGAGAGCTAAAGATTCTTTATTGAACCACCTCATTATTCACTGAAAATACTGTTGTCACAGGGCTATAGAGTCCCTTTACACCATTTCTAAACAAAAGAATCTCCTAATTTTAGGACACCAGCAATGAAAATACAAATACATACCTTGGGGTAAAACACTCATCTATGTGATTAGTTAACTTGGTTGATAAAAGCCTGATGTTAATGAGGTCATGGCTACCAATTTGAAATTAGTCACAACAATGCTAATTTTAGATGTTTGCCATTGGTTCTAAATGGTATGGATTGGGGCATTATGGATGGTTCAGTACAAATTCATTCATTAATTTGTACAACACTCCATTCATTCAACACATTTATTGGGTACCTACCATGGAAATGGGGGTAGTGAAGTAACCAAAATAAATACTTTTCCCTGTTTTCATGGAGGGAGGTAGATAAGTAAACAGTTTCTCAACACTCCAGGAAGGAGCTATGTCAATTAAAACATCTAAAGGAACAACTCCTACTTGAAATCAACAGCATTTACATCAAGTAAAAGGCATTAGACATACTTCTGGCATGAATATATTTGAAAATGAAAATTTCATAACTAAATAATATCTGTTAATATTTCCACAGTATATAATAGTTGACAGCAATCTTTTTATATTGTAGCACACATAGAAAGTGACAATATGGCACAGTGAAGTGATTGGATGAACTGCCCTAAGGGCTCAGGCTGCTCCAGACCCCATGGGAC